CTTTCAAACCATCTGTCCTCTCTGTCCAAAATGTGAACATTGGCATCCTCGAAAGAGTGACCTTTATCCTTAAGATGCAGATGGACAGCTGAGTCTTGTCCTGTGGAGGTGGTGACTCTTTCGCTGGTGTCAGCCCCCTCCCTCACCCGAGGGAGGATAAGAAGGACAGACGCAACAACATTGTCATCCCCTATGTAGCCGGTGTATCAGAAAAACTCAGGAGGGTTTTCTCCAAGCATTTCAGACCCAGCAACACGCTCAGACAAAAACTGGTTCACCCGAAAGACAAAACTCCAAAACACAGACTTAACAATGTGGTGTATGCTGTACAGTGCAGCGAGGAATGCTCTGACCTCTACATTGGAGAGACCAAACAGCCACTTCACAAGCGCATGGCACAACACACTATCTTTTTATTTTTTTGTTTTTGTCTACATTATATTAAATGTTTCATTATCGGAAACATTTTAAGAGATACTTGTTATTCTTAACATCGTAACAGATACTCTGACCTGTAACTATCGTAAAATGCTTTGACCGGAAGTAGACACCTTTCGCGCAAGTCTTACACATCATGCGTGGACCCTCATTTATAAACACAACTTCTCACCTCACAAATACCTTATCTGGAACAACAGAGATATTTTATAGAAAAATAAATCACTTTTCCTGGAAACTTGGGTCCAAAATGGGATCCTATTGGTGGCTCAGCTGGTTAATAAAGAGGGACAACTACTTACTTACAATGACTTTATTGCACTATATTATTTTCCAATCAGTGTTCAGGAATTCTCAATGGTGCTTGGTGCCACACCCTCAGGGACTTTAATGTTATATAAAAACACTGACAGCTCAATATTTACCTCAGTCACTCTCCCTGATCCAGCTGAGTCACCAATTGGAAAAATCTGCTTTTCACAAGAACTTGGTAACAGCAATAAGAAAATACGTAGTTTATTCCAAGAAGATATCATCTCTCTCCCATATATAATATCTTATTGGAACCGATATGTTCCAGATATCAAGTGGAAGACAGTCTGGATGATCCCCCATAAATATTTGATTGTAAATAAGGTGAAAGAAGTCTCATATAAAATTCTTCATAAATGTTATCCAGCCAGTCACTACATGGTAAACGTGTCTACTTGAAAATCTCCCATGTACGCCATTTCTTTCTTATTGTTGTAATCATGAATCCTTTTCCAAACTTGCTGCGTTCTATTTTAAGATCTTCGTCCATTTCACTTTGTCAGGCAGGTTCTACTTAATTGATTTCTTGGTCTTGCAGAAATCACACCTGATGAATCAATGTCTTTCTCACACAGGGCCTGGTAGATTTGGACATATTTTTTTTCCCTTATTAAAAACCTGAAACAAAACTGCACTCAGAGTGTAATTCCCATGAAATTTTACAATAAAGCCTAAAATATGGTAAGTAGTACACTGCAACATGGGAAAAGAGAAAAAGACAAGACACTGGAGAGCAAGTACGTATGCACGCATTAATACCCAGTAGAACACTAGTTACAAACAAATATGTTTTATTTATTCAAAGGCATTTTTCGAAAGGTAAAAGCAAAATAAGCACAGATAAATTGATGTGTTGGGGCTGAGTATTTGTTCATAAATCTACTGGATGTTTGACCAGTGTGCCGCTTGAAGAATAAAATAAACGAGCTCGTACACATGATGTAGTTTTCTGCCGGTCCACTAGATGTCGGTAGCAGACAAACGTTCAATCTGATGATGTGACCACAGGACAAAAAATGTTAACAAATCACCAAAGCTGCCACAGAAGCTGCAACAGAGGACAAAATAACTAGTATATTGTAATTTAATTGGCTTTTAAAACAATACAAGGAAATGAGCCGTTAACAAGCAGAAACTGGAAATTGAAAAACTGCTAGCCTGCGAAAACAACTCCACGCAGCAAAATATACACTGACAACATTATGGAGCAACATGAGACTTTAAATCAATTTGGAATTAATACTTCATTAAACATTAGAAATATTTCAGATGCAAAAAAGAAAGAAATCCCCATAAATACAGTTTTGGTTTCAACAACTCAATTTTTTCTGTCAGTATGACCTTATGACATCTACATGGGTATAAAACACACTACAAGAAAAGTATACTAATAAATTCACTCTAAAGATAATAACGTGTTTTATGTTGAATATCTACAACTGAAATGAAAGGGACAAACTATTTCATTTTTACTTTGTAGTGCCATAAAGACTGATTTGGTATGAGTTGCCCAGTTTTAGAGCCATCTGCTGTAGAAATATTCTTTCTTTGGATAAAATAAAACCAGATAACAAGGTGACTGCTTTGTGGTGCTAAAGATGGCTTTCTCAGAATCATAACCCAGTTACTCAAAAAAAAAAAAAAACACACAAACCTTGTTACGAATAGTTTTTTTTTCTATAACTGGGCCATGACTTCTTAAAAGGAAAAGACCAGAGTATTTTTATTTGTTTTGGTTAAAGGCGGGGGAATTTGCTCTGAGGAGGGGGCCATTTCTAGGGCGACTCATGCCAAAGCAATTTAGATGAATAAATAACAACACAATTGGGAAAATATGTTAATTTAACTTATCTGATCAGATGTCATGTTCAAAACGTTGATTTATCCACAGTTAAATATTGGTCTGCTTTAAAAATCATTACATCATAACTAAAGTAGAGTCAACATTAACAAACATTTTTGATAAAAGGCATTTAATTACATGAGGCTTTTTACCAAGTGAAACACTAATGATGACAACTTGACAAAACGCATGAATATCATGGTAATCTTGGCCTTTAACACGCTGTTTTGTTCATTTTCAAGTATCGACTTGGGATAGTAAAGCTTAATAACTTCAATTCCACGCCTTTTCCACAAATCTTCATCACTGGTGAGTTAGCAGGTTACAAACTTCTGTGTTCCAAGCTTTATCTAACATTTCTCTTTACAACAAAAACAGCACAGTGCATCTCTGAAGTAATCCAGCACAACTATAATCGCTGATGCCCATGATGGTTTCAGTTCTTTTAAAGTAATGCAAGGAACTGCTGGCAGGTATAACATCTAGCTTACTATTAAAAGCTGACACATGAGTAAGTGCAGAGATGCTAGAAATGTTCCAGTAATGGACCAAGCAGTAACCCAGCCAGAGAGGGGAAAAATATGGTAATTACTTCATACATCGCCAGTCGCATGATGCTATAATCTAATAAACAGTGGTTTCAAAAGAATAGCTTCAAAGAAGCTGTGAACAAAACAAGCATAGTAATAACAAAGAAATGTTCATTCTTCTTTGAAGTTTACACATTTCTATGTCGTTTTAAATCCCAAATCTCACAGCAAATCACTGGTTCCTTTCTAACCATGAAAACACGAAAAGTAACATAAGAACATAACAAAAAGGTTAAAATCCTACATCTTGTATCTCTAACTACTGATTCACTACACTTCTATGCTGTGGTTAATATTTGTTTATTTATATGCCTTTTATTTTATAGATAAAATTTTTATCATTTGAATCTAGCCTTAACTATACACACACAGCAAATATGTACAAAATAAAGTCTGTCAACTATAGATTCACAAAAATAAAAAAGCCTTTAGCAAGTCTAGGAGATGTCAGACAAGCCTCCACACTTTTTCCTTCTTCCACTATTATCCTTTTGGATAAAATAGTCCTGTGACTGGAGTTGGTGGAAAGCAGGAGACAGCGACACAACAGGGGGAGACAAAGCAGAGCTCTCTTCCTGTGTTTTTGCCAAGGGAAAGGGAGGAAGGTGAAGGTAAGTTCTCACAAAATGCAGCAAGGGTCCTCTGGAGCCTTGTCTATGCAGAGCAGTGGATGGGTGATGAAGTCACCTAGGCTCTTGTGGTGTGCATTTGCATCGAGCTGATTTGACCTTATGCAAATGGAGCTAGCCAGCACAGTGTGCCATGCTGGCAAAGGTAAGGTTACACTGTTTAAACAAGGCACTGCAGATCAAATGTGAATCACGGTGCACTTCTCGCCTTAGATAATTGCAGAAACATACTGCAGTGGCTACCACAGACGTAAGCAGGGGAAAAATTGGACTGCCATGTCTCTAAAGGACTTGAATCCGAAGAGTCATCTTTGCCACACTCAGTAAGAACAATGTACCATCAGGAACAAGAAGCTCATGCATAAGATGGACCAAAAAAGTACTAAATGTTTTCTAGATTTGCACCTGTGATTTGAAATGATGCAGAATTTGAAGCAGATTCCAATAGAAAATAAAAAACAAGGGTTAAAAAAAGAATGTTAGATGAGAAAAATTGTTTGTTTGTACTCATATGTTCAAGTTTCCATTTATAGAATTTGAATATTGTTTATATAAGCCTATTATGTCTATTTGCGTTTCCTGAGCACCAGGTACACGAGGCCACTGATGAGAGTCATGGGGAAGCTGATCCACGCCACAACATAAGAGGAGCCGAATGAGCCTTCCTGAAGGTCATGCTTATGAAAGCTTTTGTTCTCGGCCGTGTAGATGGACACCGCGATCATCACACATAAAGCTGGGAGATGAGAGAAGAGATAAGGAAAAGGATGGAAATCATACACACGGATAGTGGATATAAGTTGCATTAGAACATTAAAAGTTAGATGTGTTTTACATACATGCCAATATCTGGATAATGGCTGTGAAAATGAATCGCTCTCCCTGTTTGATCCTGAAGAGCTGAAGGATGAAGACGAAGAAGCTGACGCAACACAATATAGTGGCAAGGATCATGGTAGCCTGGACTGCCTGCAGATAAGCTGAGGAGAGAGAAGTTAGAAGTTGTAGCATACCCAGACATACATTTACAGAGATATAGGAAGTATACACACTGTCTTACCTGCATTCACAGTGTGACTGTCCTCAATCGATTCGCAAGTGGTGTTACATGCGTACCATAAGTCACTAATAATGTTAATGCCAGGTCTTGATACCACCCACCACGCCTACATCAGGGATAGACACAAGCATTGTTAAAAAAAGTGAAATGATTTATGTTAAAGGAGTATTTATTTTCAGTGTGTACTTACATTGTGAATGGTGGCAACGAAGAGCAGGATGGCTGCAGCCAGATGAAAGAGTATGATGAAAGCTAAGACGATCAACATGACTGCCCTTCCGTCTAACTTCTATCTGCTTTTTGTCACCTGTCGGTCAAACTGGTTAAATACCCTGCAGGCCGTTTCCCCTCGCTGTTTGTTTCTCCCACTGGCTGATTGTCAGTTTTGGTGGAACCACTTCTGTATGTTTATGCTGGCTGTCAGACAGGCGGGGTTGCAGACTGATAGTGAGGAATGGATCAAGGCCGCTCACATGAAAAGAACCTGTTGGAAGCAACATGAGTGTAATAGCTGAGTAAATGAAAAAAAAGAAATGATTTCTTTAATCATCATCATCATGCATGATCGATACCAATATCGATATTTGGTGATGTAAAAATTCAGCTCGTATAGATACACAAAACAGAAACAGATGTCCCAAAAATGTGTTATATGTGGTCGTTGATAAGTCCTAGCTAAGATAATATGACAATGTTGTAGGGCTGCACGATTTGCATAAAATGAGAATCACGATTTCTTTGCTTAGAATTGAGATCACGATTTTCTTTTCCAATATAAATATTTATTGCGCTTAACTGCACATCAACTTCGTAACAGTTGAGACTGAACATAAAACAATAAATAAACATAAAAACAACAAATGTCTCAGGTTTTGTTGTTGCCGCAAAATGTACTGCTTGAAAATCCGTCTCCACCGTTGCTGGACACTGCGTGTATAGAGCAGGTAGTGCAACAATAGAAACGCACTGTGTAGCGTTTGTCGAGGGTGTTGATCATTTTCCTAAATCCCTCGTTTTGCACAGTGTTGATGGGAGCCATATCTTTGGTCA